AACAAATTTCTTTTGAATTTGCTAGAATAAAGTGTATTGTCAATATATAATTTTGTATTATTTTATAAGATAATACAAACTTTTTCGAAGCCTTCAACAATATTTGATGCACCTGATATCATATTAACATTATTTTCTGCTAATTTTAAGTCCAATTTTTTTTTTTTGTCTCGAATAATAATATGCATAGTTGCACTATCAATCAAACGGGTGTCTTGACAATTTATCATAAATCTATAAATATAATAAAAGAGATATTATTTTTAAAAAATTGAATTTGAATTCAAAAGAAATATATATAATTCAATATTATGAAATTAACAATACATGATAAAGTTTCAAATTTTGCAAATAATAAAAACATATTTCAAACTAAATTTCTAAAACAAAGGGAATTCTAAAAATATGGAAAGTAAACTAATTTGTATCTTCCATCACATCACCCACAATCAAATGGTCAATATCGTCATTTGGATTATCAAAGAAATCAGAGACGTCCAAATAAGCCTATGTTTGACACCCTTTTTGGGTTAAAAATTGGTTTTTAAATAGTGATTGATAGAAGAATGTGTGGTTAAAAAGTAACGAGAATTTTTGGGTTTATGTGTAATATTATTTTATTGATAGAATGTGTGGTTGAAATGAAGAAAGAGAATGAGAATGAGAAAAAAAAAGGGTGTCAAACATAGGCTTAATACAGAATTAGTCCATTCTCATGGTGATTTTGAGGATGTTTGAAAAATTGCAACTTTCAGATCATTGTAGCAAAAAGGCAACCAACAAACAAAAACGAGCACATAAAAAGGGAATGAATACCAGAAGGAAGAATTTACATCATAGATTATTCTAGCCTCAAGAGGTTCTTATTTCACAGGACATACCTGTTTTCCACATCATTTCCTCCTGCTGGAAGAGCAAAGGGCTGCAGAACTTGTGGGAGCGCAACATCTTTGTGTGGTATAAATCCAACATCATAGCTTGGAGAGCAAACGACACGAATTGAATTCTTTACGAGAAATGGAAGTCCTTCAGTGGCCCTCACACCAACATCATGACAAGTAACAAAAAAGTGATCTGCACCCAGAGTTCTATTCCAATAAGGATACTTAGACGTCAAGTTCTCCACATAGTTCTGTACAATTACAGTCATGTTCTCATATGATATTCCCTGCATGTTATTAAAAGAAAATTATTTAGCAGAATGGAACGGCTTAAACTAGGTTGTAAATATAACAACAATATTGCAGGGCTAAGACCATTTTCATCATTATTATCAGAAAAATCCACTAATTTTAATCAGCAAACTTTTAAAAGATGCAAGACCCAGGTTAATGCTCATGCAATGCATCAGACGCATTTGAGTCTGCAATTATTTTCACTTCCCTCGTCCACATGAGCTGTACCTCATTGTTCCATAAACAAGGTACAATTTATGAAAAAAGAAAATACAACCCCAAACATCCCCATGCTGGTTGCAATACCACTGAATACCATCTCACAATGACAATCATGCAACGCATTTTGTTCTCTCTCTAAAACCTTCATCGACAATTGCCTAATTCATTTCCCTCAATTATGAACCACCAGTACAGCAGGACCTCACTTTCTAGATACTCCATTTTTGTTCAGAAATTTCACTGATACCCAATAAATCAATAACTTGCATCGCAAAATGTTCAGCATAGAGGTCGTCATATTTTTAAAAATAATAATAATAATATTAAAACCCATAGCAAATTTTGAAGTCCAGGAAATCTACAAAGACGTTAATAGAGCAAAGTATGGGTGTGAAATGTCCATATGTGTGAATTCCTATATGTATCGTGGAAGTGTTGAAGAAATAGCTTTGTAGCACAAACACTTCAATTATGGTAACGTGTCCGTGTCCGACACGAGTCGATACCGACATTTTTCGGACTAATCATTTTTCTTTTTATATTAGAAATATTATATATTGTTTATTCAAAATTATTAGCAAATAACAAATAAGTACTAATATTTAAACGCTTTCAACAAGAAAAATTAATAACAAGTATAAATTTAATTTATACTATATAAATTAAGAATTTTTAAAATTTTAATCAACGTGTCGATGACGTATCGTATCTGTATTTTTTTTTTTTTTTAAATCGCGTGTCAGAGTATCCAACACGTATCGTGTCGGACACACGTGTCAGTGTCAGTGTGAGATTTTCACCTCATATGGCTCCTCATTTAATTCTTTCGAATTCAATAGATTCTTTTCCACGTTCGAGAATCCCCTCCCTTCTTCTACTCTTTCCCAAAGAGTAACTATGACCATTTAGTCATGTTTTCATAGGAAGATAGGGATCATGGGAGGGGACAAAAGAAATAAGATAAGAATGGCGATAGAAGCTGCAACAAGTGCAGGATGTGGGCCAAGCAATGGGAATAGTGGGAGGATGATGAAGAGCAAGTAGGATGCAAAGCACATGGATATTGGTGGTAGAAGTGGTAATGAG